ATGAGGAAGAAGACACTCAAGAGCGGAGAGGTCGTGATCGTCAGCCCTGATGTTACTATCCAGAGCATCTATCTTTGTACGTATTTCGATCGTTCCTCTAGCCTCAGCTAATACTGACTTAGACATTTAGGGTTCTATGCCGCAATCAACTTTGGATCTTGCGGTGCCATATCTGCGTCTTTCCTTGCAAAGAACCATGGCTACTGGGCTGCCTATCTCGTACCAACAGGTATTTTCTGCATTGTACCATTCGTGTTAATGGCTGGTAAGAAGCGGTATGTGATGACCCCTCCCCGTGGTTCCATCCTACTGGAGGTAAGTGCGCTAGCCCTCGCTATAATACGCTACCCTCGCTTACTTTGCATGCTAGACCCTTCGCGTTATTCGCCTATCTCTCGGACCGGCTTGGTCGTTCAATCCCATTCGAACCTACAAGAACTGCAAGAATCCAGACTTTTGGGACTCGGCCAAGCCGAGCACCTATGGCGATAATGTCCCAAGCTCAATTACCTGGGATGATCCGTTCGTTGGTGAGGTAGCCAGAACTGTTAAGGCTTGCGAGGTGCTTATGTTCATGCCATTCTTCTGGCTCTGTAAGTATTCACTTGCAATCGCTCTCCCATTTTATCTAACATGCTCTGCAAGGCTACTCCCAAATTGACGGGAACCTGGGTACCACCGCGGCTGGTATGCAACTCAACGGCACACCAAACGACTTGATCCAGTAAGCTTCCTCTTGCTTCTCCTCGTGATTCTCTCTTACCTTGCTTATGCAGAAACTTGAACCCCGTTGGGATTATCATTATGGTCCCTATCTTCGACTTTCTCATCTATCCCTTCCTCAGAAGACATGGGATCGACTTCACCCCCATCAGGCGTATTTATACTGGCTTCCTCGTCGCCGGCCTTGCCATGGTCTACTCTTCGGTCCTTCAGTCGTACATCGCGAAGCGCTCGCCTTGCGCTGGCCTCGTTCCCCCTTCGGAGTGTGAGACCGCCGATAAGGAACCCAATCCTGCTCCCATTAACGTCTGGATAGTCGCTGGCCCATACATCATGGTCGGCATGGCCGAAATTTTCTCCTCCGTCACCTCCAACGAATATGCTTTCACCAAGGCCCCTGTGCGAATGAAGTCTGTCGTCACTGCATTTTCGCAGTTCCAGAACGCGATCAGCTCCATCCTCAACTTTGCCCTGGTTGAGGTCAACACCGAACAGAAGTTCGTCTGGTTGTACGGCTCATTTGCCGTCGTTGCTTGGGTTATAGGAACGATCTTCTTTCTACTGTCAGTTGCCGTAATCTTGCCTTGTTTAAGTGCAATCGCTGACTTGATTGTATTCTTAGCTTCCGCCGCTACGACAGGAAGGAGCACGACCTCAATGCCATTGGGAGGGGGCCTCGTGTTGGATTTGTGGATGAGGCGAGAGCCTCGGATCAAGTTGATGTTCCTCTCAAGTCATAATTCCTGCTGCACTCTTTACGCGTTACCCTGTACATGTCTCGTTGATAGTTCTGACCCCCCACGTGCAATGAGCGATTTCTCCGTCATAGTTCATGAATGCATCAAAGCTTAGCTCTCTCTAGACTTTGTCAAATCCCTCAGAATATGCTCAAAGGCATCTCCCAAAGGCTACCGTCGTCCTTCGCCTTAAGTGTATGTGTCCTTCAGAGGGGACCACGGTGTCTATTGCACAACGTGAGTACATTAAGTCTCCTTGTCTTTGTCCATGTCCTTGATTCCCTCCTCCGCTTTCTCCCGCATGACGCTCTCAGTAAGCGATGGTGTGTACGGCGATCTGGTACCCGTTTGCCTGGCTCGCCTGCGAGCGACGAAGACTCGGGTCCTGGCAAGAGAGCGGGAAACCCACTTCTTCGTCGAAGAGAACAGGATAGACCCTGCATCGCTGCTCAATAGGGATCCATGAAGATACGACCATATTGCTATCACAATCACTGTCAAGGCACCCGTTATGGCGAAGTAGAGCCATACAGTCCCAGAAAGTTGAACGGGTATCGAGGAAGACTTCAAGTCAGGCGATGGATCGGCCTCAGCCACACGAACGAATTGAGTGCTGAAGAACGACTGGTGCTTTTTAGCATATGCGTTCGAGAAGGGAGGGGTGTGCTTACGGCGACAACGGAGCCTGGTAGAAAAACCATCGTAACAAGCGCGATCCTGCTTCGAATGAGCCTTTGTCTATGAAAACGGTGGGGGAGTGCTTACGTTGTCATCGACGAGCTATCCTTCCGTGCGTCAGCCGCCAACTGCGATGACGATATGGCCACTCGTAGATTCATCATAGTCCTGAGCATGTCCATGCTATCCCGAATGGCCTCTTCCCTCGTGCTCAGAGTGTTCTCCATGTTCTTCAATAATGAAATAGTCTCTTGAGGTACTGTCGACCAGTCATCGTCAAGTCCTGGTGGGTTGAACTTTTCTGGGCGACATGCAGCTAGGAGAACCCGTGTGTTGGTCATTGCCTTGAGGAGCTCGAGTATCCTTCGCTTATTGCTATAAGCCGCTTCAATGACATGCACCTCGCGGTAAGAGTCTGTCATGCTCGTGTAATAGTCATTGCGTTCTTTAATCTGGGCTTTGCTCAGTGTCGTTGCCATTGAGAAGGCATTGATGCTTGCAAGCTCGAACCCGGTTAGCGCGTGCCGCATTTGAAGCAAATGATACTCACTGTTTGTATCGATGTTGAAAGTACCCGGGAATACCTTTTATGAAAAAGGTGTTCATCATTGCAGAGGATAGCGTCGACTGCCATGAAAGAGGGCGTGAGGGTCATCTCTAGAAATACGTTGAGAAGATTTTGGTTCGCCACTACCCCCAAGTTGTCGACAACATAGATCGACGCATCGCGATCCAGCCTGTGACTGAACCAGACGGTGGTGTCAGAATCGGTGATCTTTGTCGTGTACACGCCATCTTCGAATACCGGATTAACCTCAGATACTGAGAGCGCGAAAGAGGACTTACTGAGAGAGCAATCGCGAGGCTCAAGGATGTCTATCTCCCGTCTTCGTGGAGGGAGCTCTAAAACAACCGAATCTGAGGTAGCTAGCACGCCATCGAAGAAGCAAGGGGATACCCCCAGAACCTCTCCGAACCACCTGATGGCAGAGATGACATCCGAGTTCTCGAATAGTTCGTACTCCTCATCAACAATCGGACGGTATGCGAGGACGCTATCACAACGTCAGAGGCGAAGTAAAAGGTAGATACCAGCGCAGTACATCACTTTGAGACCTCCAAATGGGTGGTCTTCTGGTGTTAGCTATTCTTCTGTTAACCGCATATTCAGGAGGACCATGAATTCACGTACCACGATGGCATCAAGAGACTCCCTGGTCAGTGCCATGGGGCCCGTCATGTCTCCCAGTCCGTCTTCCCGGGTGAACTTCTCTAAGATGTAGAAAGAATTCGGGAACTTTCTGCGCCCTCTGGAAAACGATTTGCAGTCGTAGCGAAGGTTGTCTAGCCCATGTTTGTATGTAGGTGAAAGAGCTTCTATCTCTGGCACACGAAGTCGCCAAGAAATGGGTGTTGTCTCCATATTGGTATGCACCGTCGGTGAAGGGATGGACTCCTTGAGTGCCGGGGTGGGGAGAGGAAGCGGAAATGAGAAGCAACCACAAGCCAACATTGGCATATTTGTGTGGACGCTCTCTGTGGGTCCACACCCTAAAAATACTCCTTCTCATGGATACTTCAAGGACAATTAGGTCACATTGGACTACGTGGCCTGACGATAGATGGCAAAGCTAATAGAAAGCCAAAGTGACGCACGCTCCTTCTTTCCAAAGTGGAAGAACGATAAAGACGGCTTGACAGCGGCGCACGCCGCAGTGTGAACAAAGATAGCCCTTTTTGTCGGGTTTGACGTCGCCCTGGTGTTTTGACACAAGTTGACAGGACGCCCACAGTGATGGCACGAAGGTTCTCAGCCAAACAAGGAATGCTCATCAAGGGTTGCCTTCACACCATCATCTACTCAATCTCGTCGCTCGAATCAAGTGAAATGGCCTCTGAAATAGGATTCTTCTCAAACTCTGTCAACTACGGTCTGCACGATAAGGAGTTGCCGATCGATGAGCAGCTGAAGATCGCAAAGAGTAAGCTTGCAGCTCGCAAGGCCCAACGTCCGTATCAGTAATTATGAATCTCGAAGTCATTGCTTACTGACTTTAAGCCTTGATCAGGGGCTGCTGGAATGGCTGCCTTGGAGGCTCCTATCTCTCCTGAAGGGCGAGGTCTGAGCACCTCCCTGCCCCCCCTCCCGGCCGCCACCGTTGTTGAGCCAAAGCGGTGCCAATCCCAACGTGAGAAGGGTTTCTGCGAATCCCTGGTCATGGAGATTAACAGATGTTTAGCTCTACTCCAGTCAGGATCGAGTTCGACGTTTGGCGACGCTAAGAACAATGCTGGTGAGTAAAATCCTACCACTTGGTGATATTTTGACTGACCGAGGAAATGATTAGATGCACTTCCATTGCGTCCATCAGAGACTCAGGTGCCAAACGACCCTCATCCATATCCTCAGCGGCGAGCGTCCTTGCCTTCTCCTCAGCTTCCTCTATTGAACGATCCCTCGGAATCGCAGCGATCTAAGCTTCGCATCGAGTCAAACGTTGTACCCATGCGTTCAGATGAGGGGATAAACTTGGGCTCTCCCGAGTCACCAACAACAGCAGAGGCATCTAAATTAGGGTCCAAACCTGCATCCTCGTGGTACTCGAAAGTCATGAAGAAGAAGAAGGTTCAAAGGACACCTTCAGAATCTGTCCCCGAGGGGAAAAAGTCTTGATTATGACTCGGACTGCTCTGATTTTACGCTTGCTGGAATGAAAACTGCTGATGGCAATTGACCTGCTTGGAACCACCGTCAGCGCTCGCTTGCCGTGCTCAAATTCTCTGCTGGAATGTGGATTGGCAAAGCTGCACAACAGGGTGAGCTTGGCGACACCTATACAACTGCCACTGAAATTAGTTCAAGGGCGCTTAGCACAGTGGTAGGGCGCACGCTTTGCAATAATCACGTGATTATTACGTGCGTGAGGTCGAGGGTTCAAACCCCTCAGCGTCCAGTTGCCTTTCTCTCTAAAATTTTGTACTTTTCAGCTACTCAGGGATTTGAACACTTTCCAAGAGAATGAGCATGCGAGGGAATTTTTTTCAGTATATAAAGAACCACTGTAAGGTTAGAATATGTACATTCAAGTTTTGTACAAATTGTCTCATTCTCAGTAGTCCCTATCACGCAGCATCCTTCCTCACACGCCTCACGTCCCACTTGACAGTCACTGTCTCTCTCGCTGCTCCAGCTCCCTCTCCATCAACCGCGGCTCCCTCCTTGCTGCCACTTGGAGCCGATGGATTCGATGGGTTCACCTTGGTTCGGGTCAAAACAATTATCTTGTTTTCGCTCGGCTCCCAGTAGTCCACCCGCCGAAGCTTGGGACACCTCCAGACGAGCATACTCGCTGTCCAATCATTCTTTTTGATCCTCGAACGATCCATGAGCGACATCTGGTCAGCACTCAATTTGGATGCCGACGTTGAATCGACAGGTAATGAGGTGCCAGCTCCAGCCGAAGCCAGACCAGTAGTACCAGCGAGCAATGTTGGCCCGCACGGAACACTCAACGCCGAAACCTCGTAGAAGAACTTGACGCCGTGCAACGCCCTCAACTCTGTTAACCCTTCCAAAACATCCAACCACTCGTCGACATTCGTCACGACAGGAGCGCCCAGCTTGGAAGCCTCTCGGGTGACGAGGCCCAACTTTGTTCCAAAATCGAGATAGGTGACCCCAGGGACGGCTTTCGCAAGTCTTCGAACGAGGTCCATATCATGCCACCCTGTCATTTCCACTCGCTTGATCGTTGAAGCATGCCGTTCAAGGTGGGACATAAGCCGCTGATCTGGGTTCAATGGGCCCGGCAAGCTGGAATGAAGCTGTTGAACCAGTTGCTTGAAGCCTTTGACAATTTCCAGGGGCCGAACATGTTCGCCATCTTCCGAGATGCAAGGGGAGGCGAGGATGAAGTTGAGCATCTCCGTCGTTGCTTCCACCTCTCGAAGACGAGGAAGAGAGTTGGGTGGCAGCTCCAAGCGGCCTAGGCTTCGCAAGTCAGGGATATAGAGGCGCTCGATGGAGGGATGGTAGCCCAGGAGGAGAGTAAAGTCGGCAGGGGTCACAGACGTCATGCCACTCAAGTTAAGGCTGGAGAGGTGGTTCCATCTCGTCCCGTTAGAGATAGCGAGGAGGAGTGGCCCGAGCTTCACGGCTGATGTTGGAGAGCCGTTCTGCGAACGCGGAGGCCGGACGTAGTTGATCGATAGGCTCTATATTGCGTTGAGTGAATACTCAGGCTAGTCATGTGGTCAAGCGCACCTCGATATTCGGTGAACCTTTGAGCATTTGAACGATTTGCGAAAGGTCAGGAGCCTTGGATGCTCCATAAGAGTTCTTCGTCGACCCAAAGCTCACCGCCTTGACCTGAGGTGACTGCGACTGGCATTAGAATGCTGGGGCATCAGCAGTTGGTGGAGACGCACCAGCAGCCCTGCATCTAAAGGGTCATCTGAATCATCGTCCGTTGAATCATCTCCAGCGGCAAGCCTGTTGCGAGAGGCTGCCTGGGGAGCAAATACGAGGTTGCTTGACATGTCCATCCTCTCCAAGACAGACGGGCACGTCACCATGAGGGTTCCCCAGACCTTCTCCAACGAGATAGGAGAGTGGTTGCAAGACCATTTAAACTCTTTCAATTCCGTCATCTGCTGCAGCGCGTTCAGGAGGTACCTCTCCTGCTTGCCATGGATTCCTTGCGCACGAACTTGATCGTCTGTAGAGTCGAAATCCGTATCCCGCTTGCCCATGCCACGAGGAGTGACAGCACGGGGGGATGAGGTAGGGAAGCCGGTGAGGAAGCGTGGGGGTGAAACCTTGGATCTTTCGTCCAGGATCTCCAGCTTCCTGACGTTACGCGCAAGGGATTGATGAACGGTGAGGTGGTTCCATACGCTGAGCGCAGAAACCTTGCACCGAACGACGCGATAGTCGTAGTGACGAGGGAAGATAACGTCGTATAAACGCTTAGAGCACAACCCAAGGTGCAAGAGATCACGTTTAGAGTCGAGGTGCGAGAGTATAGTGTCCAGTATCTCGGTAGGCTGGAAGGACAGGCCAGAGATCTCTGTGCGCCCAGAAGAGGATAGGTTTCTGACCATGGATAGGGATCTTGCGCCTTGATAAACGAATGGCTCGAGAATGGAGAGCAGGTGCAGAGATAGGTTGTGTTCAGACGACGTCATCTTGTACTGACATCCTCCTATCCGCGTCGCTAAGGAGGTCACAAGCTTCATGAGGTTGCTCAGGGCGCCTGTAGGGTCCGTGCGCGAATGAGCGTTGAGATTGAGGTCCACCGCATATCTCGACCGCGATGGAACTCCTGCTGCTTTAGAATCGCGTGTTGGAAGCTGAGGAGCCGGCTTTTTCGAGGACGAAAGCCCTTTCGTCGAGGGGCGCCCCTTGATGGTGGTGGGTGCCATCTTGGGATTGACTCAAACCCGGTTCCGCAGCTTTATGGCTTCGGTGGATTGCGGTGGAAGACCATGCCGTTACGGCTGCAATTGAAAGGTGCTGTGGCCGCTGTTCCACCGCCACTGCCAGCTGCTGTGTAGGTCACCGATCTGGGTCGTCTCAGCAGGCGAAGCCTTCCTTGAGAGTTTGTGGGCTTATGTGTCTTACATCTTCGAGGTCGATGGAAATTGATTCCGTGACGGTGGTAAAAGACCATCAATGAGCAATGGGTCCAGGACTCCAGGACTACGGTGACGAAGGCGGTCTCAGGTAGAGATTCACACGCTCAAAGGCTGTGCAAGTTGGGCGCCTATTTTGACCCACAAGACGCCCGCTGAAGGTTGAACTTGAAGGTACATGGACACAAGTGGCGAGGTAAAATCGGTGCTGTATGTATCAGCTTCGGGGAAATGTGATATCTAATCCTCCTTGCGACTTATTTCATAAACACTGATAGTATTGAGAACTGAACTGTATGCCATTGTTGGCCCCATAAACAAGGTCATTCCTAAAGTTACACAGCTGTACCGAAATTTGAGGCAGAAAATCCAAGAAAGAGGTCATAGCTTTATCCCAAGAGTAGAAGGAGGCCCGGTTGGAAAATAACTATCATGCATGAGCGACTGAAACCCTGTCGCATGCCTCCTCTCCTCAACCCTCTCACGCCACGCCTGGCAATAGCTTTGACTAATACCCCAAGTTGGCACAGGCCATAGAAGAGCCCCCGAGGTGACATCGAGCGGTAAAACTCCTTCGCTTGCGAAGGCCACCCGATTGAGATCCTGACGCGGACGAGGAAACGTAGGCGAAGGCGTCAAATGCGGAGTACTCCAGCGACGATGCTCCCCTGTGATGTCCTGACAAGGGTACTGAGGCTTTGGGTGATACAAAGTGATTTCGACGTCATTGACGTTCCTTGTTGTCGTGATTTCCCTTCCAGGGTAATCATAGCCGTAGCAGTCAAGGACCGAGTGAGAATCGTTTGCGTCGTCACTGGAGGATGTTAGGGATTGTGGATGTGAAGGCGTTCCTTCGCTGTTGCCTGTGTCTTCGCTTTCAGCCTCGTTTTCGTCTTCATCTTCGTTATCCGACCCTTCTTCGGCCTCGTCTTCTAGTTCAACCTCGTCTTCATTTTCGTCGCCTTCGTTGTCGTACGCCGTATAAGGAAACAGGACACTGGATGAAGCCAGACCGAAAATCCCGTTGTCTGCAAAGCTTGGTGGAGTTGAGGTTGTTGCCTGCCTGATACAGAAAGGAACTGTTGGATTCTCGAATGGTGTTGCGTGATAGCCTTTGGCATCGTGGCTGGTGAGCAGAGAAGGAGGGGGAGAGTTGGCAGGGAAGCCGACGCGGAGAAGGCCCAATGAGCTGTGACATTTCTTCTCCAAGTCTGAGTGGACGGCGAAAAGGGGACCTAAGGCAGACACAAGAGTTTTATCGGAAGCAGTTGAGCATGGACGCTCTGAGGAGAGGTACCGGCGATAAGGGTGGTACAAACGAGGAGGAATGTTTGAGGTTCTATCCGCGGCTCTATGGTGCATCTGGCGGAAAGCTCAGAGCCTTTGGGGACACGCTGTGTGTATGACAGGGATAAGAATGTCACTTCTTATATTAGACTCCTTCAAATGCCACCATTCTACTCATTCCAAGTGGTATCTATTTCAAGAACTCACTTTCCAGTTTGGAACTCCCCCGAGAAAATGACAGCTCGCGCTGCTGTCGTCATAGTGCTGGCCACAAAGTGCTCACTCGTAGGGGTTTAATGAGCTCCAATTAATTGCTAGTCGAAGGCCAAGCCGGCCTTCAGATTCCTAACCCCGTGTTGGATACCACCTTTTGGCGATTTCGTCGGTAACATGCTAAGCGATAAGAGGCGATGGTCATTTCGGCAGCCCGGTGGTGAGGGGGGTCAAGACAGACGCTTTCAGTCAGTTCTCAGCGACTCTGGAATTTAGCAATGAAGATAAGCAAGAGCCTTGAACTTGAAATTAATTAAGAACAACCAATTGGTTTCTCTCCAACAAGGAGACAATGCCCGGTGTGAGACGTCACAACAATCTCTTTCTATTTTATCTCATCAACTCTATTGTCCATTCCAGCTTTCGCCCTGATCTCAGGTTCGCAGCGAACCATTCGTGACATACGTAAATGAGACCCACTTCCCCTCCCGAATTCATCTTCCAGCGTGGGCGTCAACGTAATTCCAGCAAAGAGAGATTGTTCCAACACTTTGATTGCTGTATCCTAGAGTCTGGCCACAAATTTCATGAAGAATAGGATGCCGAACAGATGGACCGTCGGGTATAAATTCGAGGAAGCACCTCATTGTTTCTTCCCCACCACCACGACCATTCCTTAACCCATTGCACCTTCTCTCGTCTTACTGCGCTTGATCAGATCAACAAGTTCGTTTAAGCAATGGCGAAGCAAGCCTCTACTTCATCCTCTGCTAAGCCCAACAACTCGAGAGCAGATGAGGCTACCCGTGAGGGCGCCCTTGACGCGTATGATACCCCTTCCAGCATCACCCCATCCAGCGTCGCCTTGAGCTCCACCCGGGGAACGCAAATCCAGTCGTTGTTCAAGCCCAACGACGTTCTCCCTTACCTCCGGGGCATTCTCCCTGACGACCAACTTGCACAGGTCTTCCACCCATTGACCGTGTCTACAGGTGCTTACCCTGTCAAGACGTCGCCTCAGACCAAGCAGACTTGAGCTCTAGCATCGACAACCTATAGTCAATTCCAAGTTCTCATCCACACCTTTCTCGCCTATTCTATGCACGCCATCGCGTTTCGTTTTTGTCCGCGATTCCGAGATCGCTCTCTCAGTTCATTCACAGCCGCATTTGTATTACTATGACTCACCCTTACATTTGTCTTCGTCTTTGTTATCGTTAGATTCTTGTAGTCGTAGTATATAGCTCTTCTTCTTCAATACTATCATTTTTAGTGCTCCTCCCCGCTTCAAGAGCACAGCCGGAGGCAACTGTTCGACACCCATCAAATTAGCCATCAACTCGATGACGACACCACTTTGACGATCTGCTCTTGTCCAGTGTCCACCATGACCATTTCTGCTTACCGACTCTCTCAGATCTCAACGCAGGGCGAATGCTCTCGCATACCGTCAAATCTCTTTAGTCCTTAGACGTCGCCATGACCACCTCACAACGACAACGATGGTCCAAGCTGGCGCTTGCTTTCACTTTGTCCAAACGCCTACACGTGTTGGTCGCACTGTGTCCGAAAATGTGGCCCAGGGTCCCCAGGACCTCAGCTATATCTAGTGAAGACGAGCTTGATCTCTATGTTGGACTAAACTCTCATCTCAACGGCTTTGGAGGGTACAGTCACGAAACTCACGCTTCCCCTTCTAGATCTTTCCCATCCATAATCATTCGGAGGCATAGAAAGAGATGCCGGACTGCTCCAAGCCTCCAGGACACGCTTCACCATTTCATGTGTGCGCCAAAGCCGGACCTGCCATGCCTCCTGGTCTCAACACTTCATCTAACGCACAACCAGAACCGGTAGTGTCACAGGATTCCCCGTCTGTTCTTCCCATTCCTGGTCGTCTTTGTAGATCAAGACATGGTAACTCTGTCACGGTTCGTCCATCTGTTCCTATTGTTCCGGCCTGTCCGGAGGGTTTACACTGTTCCAATCCCCCTCGCCCATCCGCTCCTCCTGGTGCAAGACGTCTGGGCTGTGTTCAGGTGCAATCACCACCTCGTCTTCCCATTCCAAGCATTCATGCAAGGTTTCACCCGTACCGTGCTGCAGCTCCGTCTGGTTCGAACCAGCTGAATGGTCATCCGAATAGTCTTGGTGCTGTACAAGGATACTGGCGTCCGCATTTTCCTCCTCACGCATCGCAGCGAGCCCCTCCGCTATCGCCCATACGTCTTCCTTGTCTATGGGCTCCTGTGTCGAATCACCTACAAGATCCAGCCACTCTGTCTCATCATGAGCCTGTGTACCACCTACACGCTCCCGCCCCTTTGTATCCTCTTCCGAGCGCTTCCCAACCCGCCCCCTTTCAGGCGCTGAATGATAACCGTTTGACATACGAGAACCTCATCCGACTTTTCTATGCCAACTTAATTTCCCCTCGTGCCGGAGGCGCGGCAGACCCTAGGATCCCTCCTTGGGCGATGCGTATCCTGCATTGGCGCAACAGCCTCCCCGAGGTATTTGAAGTGGAAGAGATCGTTGAGAACGACGAGGACTTGAATGTAGATGCCGATGACGATAGACATGGGGAGGGGAGGGGTAGCGCAGACCTCTTATGACGCCTTGCCCTCCATTGCTCCCATTACGATCTGTCGTCCGCCTCACCTTCACGATCTATTTCCTTTTTCGAAGTAAAAAACCACGACTGACTTCAAGTTCCTCGCCCTTGCAACAGCTGTCGTTGCAGTGTCTATATAATCTGCAGCATACGCACCATTCATCTGTTCCCCAACAACGCCGCCCGCCGCCCCGTAACAACTTTTCGAATGACAACAAATGACCCCTGACTCAACCCCGACCAGCCATTTTGAAATTCCAATCCCGACAAATCTAGGACCCTCGATGACATGACGACAATAACCGTTCCTCTTTCTTTATAACCGACATGGGGACGTCGTCGACCTCCCTTGGCAGTCCTTGCAGTCGTTCGCAAATACCTCTGCCCACATCCTCCACTCTCCTTATCCTCAGACATCCCTATTTATCCCGGACATCTTCTCTAATCTATCGCCTATCCATCAATCTCCTATCCCGATCACCATGTCCCCATATGACGCTCACCAATCCAATTCCTCACTCTCGACCACTCAGGAAATTCAAGAATGGTTCTCGGAGCAGTGCATAGAGATTCTATCCGGCTTTTCCCCTAATCCTTCGTCGTCGTCGCCCACTTCACACCATTCATCCCGCAGCCCTCGTCGCTCCTTCTCAAATTCTCATCCTCGTTGCTCCTCAGCTTCGTACCCAGAAGAGAGTACCCTTCACCCCATCCGTCCGCTTTCACTCTGTCGTCTCTCCATCATCATCCCATCTACTCCCTCAGCGGAACCGGAAGAAGGATCTCTATACAAGTCGAGTCTCATCACCGGGATGATAGAGGAATGTGACACACTGGCAATCGAGCTCCAGGATGAATATTCGGTGAACTCTTGTAGGAACGATGACATCGGCGAAGGAGATTACCATTATTCTGAGGAACGGAATGACGACGACGAACTTGGTGCTGATGGGTGGGAGGAAGAAGTCTCGAATCTGAGTGCGCTTGACTTGGATGTGTCGTGCTTTTCTCAGGATTAGAGTCAAGCAGGGTCTATGCATCTCGGATAGTGTAATCTACCAACGAATTATCAAGAATATTTCGACTCTATCCCACCTTTGATTATACCTTGCAAGTGCAGATGGCCGTCGCATATCCAACTGAGGATCTTTGCTCCTTCCGCCGGTTAGATTCAGGGAAGGAATTAATCGCCGTCTAGGAACTTTGAACGAACACGATGAAAGAGTTTCATGCTCTCCCTAACTTTCACCCCGCCATCTCCCTTTCTAGCTTTCTGCGAAGGTAGTTATAAGATCGCTGCAAGCTACAGAGACACCATAGCCAAGTGGTTACGGCGACAGATTAGAATCTCTAAGTGCCTGTGTTCATATATCTGTTCCTCTTTGAGGGCGCAGGTTCGAATCCTGCTGGTGTCGCTTCCTAAAGTTCGAAGCTTCTTCTTTTGCCTTTTAACCTTTTGCCTTGTCTAGAATGGAAAGAAAGGATTTCGACCCAAGTCATGATCTGTACACGGTTGCCTTTTAGGCGGCGAGAAACGGCAATTAGGCATGGCGCAAGGCGCATTGCAGTGAAAGTAGTAGCAGAAACACCGGTGGCGCTCTCCCAGATTCGCCGAGCGCGCATGAAGACTAAAGCATTACTCAAGGGCTGTAGAGGCACGATGGCCTGCTGGCCAAGGCAACAAGCCAGGCGATTAATCGACCGCTGGAAACACGTTACTGCAGGTTCGACTCCTGCTTGTTCTGTCAGTTTGAACCAGCTGTATCTGATTTTTTCTTTTCTTTTGGTATTGTTCGTTTGATAAATTGGCCTATCTGTAAACACAAGGTGGTTATATGGGGTGCGTTTCCAACTGTGCAGGTAATTTATATCGACACGGTGTAATCGACGAGGGACTTTTCATCCATGGACAAACGTGCCTCTACAAAAGGAGAGACACGATGGCCGAATGGTTCAAGGCAACAAGCTGTTGTGCAGTGCGAGGGATGAATCTATACCTTGGTTCATGCAGGTCCGATTCCTGCTTCGCGTCGTCCGCTCCTTCTTACATACAGTAGCAGTTTTCTTTTGCTAGTGTGGTGTTTTGTCGTTCATGTTGTATTGGTATTTTGATTTGTAGAATCCAAAAACCGTTGCACTGCGAGCAAAAGAGCGGGATCTCGGGGATTATATATATCAAAAGTAGAATAAAATATGTCAGATTCCCGCCACGACGCGAGTAGGAGTCGAACCTGTGTTGCCTTGAATGGGATGGCCATGACCATGGTGAATTACCGCCAAACTATTATCGCGTCTCCTGACATGGCAAGGTTGGCGCGTTGAACGACGTATCTCTGACAAGCTTCTTGACGATAGGTATCGGGCTGTAGATAATTGGACACCATCTATCAGACGTCAGCGATGGTCTTCCTGGAGGAGAAACTAGTCTTTGGAGCTAGAGATTTGGGTATTACTAAACGGGTTCGAATCCTGTACGTCTCTGTATATCTCCCGTGATGTGCATAAATTCTCATTTTTGTTACTGGAGGGTAGTAACTAGCGTACTTACTGCTTCTCAACCTCGGTATGTGCGAGAGGGTCTTGTTACCCTTACTTTGATTTCTGGGGGATACGACCACCGTCGTCCATTTGCTGTTCAAGGCGCAATGGTCAATTGGCAGACTTACAGACACCCAGTAATACGCAGGTTCGAATCCTGACGCGTCATTAACAGTAACTGCTTGTATTCTGATTTTCCGCTTTTTTTCGATACCTGTTTGCGTGCGGTATCTAGGCTGTTCTTTTATCCAATTGCGGGTCAAGTCTTCCTTGTTGGTCCGTGCGAACACTTGCCTCCTGGAGCACCAGGAACCTTTTAAGGGATCGCGACCAGGGTACGATTGGCTGAGCTGGAGAGTCCATATACCCTCGACTTATTCTGATTCAGCAGGTTCGAATCCTGCTTGTGTCGATTTGTGAAGACTGCGAGATTTGTTCGATTTTACGACCTATTTTTGTTTTACTATAAGCTACACAATCTGGGTATGTACATTTCGGATTGAACGGCCAAGCACAGAATTTTGCATTGTGCTTGGAACCCCATTTCAAGTTTCGCATTCGGTTTCGATATCGCCGACGGAACTCTCGATTCGTGAAAATACGCTGTGGAAGTGAGGCTTGCTACACACAAGCAACGCTGGCGACGGAGAACTTGGGGGTCGAAGCAACTCTCACACAAATCGGGTATTTAGGGCGGTCGCGCATAAAAATACCAATCAAATTGCCCTTTGGCCAGGCTGGTCAGATCGTTGAACGATCTCGAGGCAAATCGACCACCGGAAATACGGTGCTACTCGTGCTATGAGCTTGAACCAGCGGTATCTATGTTTTTTCACTGTCGATATTCTTTGTTTGGTGGTGTCTGTAAGAACAAGGGAGATGATTAGAGCTCACCTCTATGTAATATTAACGAGGTACTTGCATAATCTCCCAGACCCGCATAGATTGTGACGGAGACATGACGGCCGAATGGTTAAAGGCAACAAGCTGGTTTTCAGTGCAACATATAAAGTGACTTTGCCCCTTGGTTCATGCAGGTTCGATTCCTGTCTTGCCTCGTCCGCTTTGTCATACATGGTACTTTTCTTTTGCTGGTGTGATTTTTTGTCTTTCATGGTGAAGTTTCAATCAGCATTTTGACTTGGAGATTCTAAAGACCGTTGCACTACCATTAAAATAGGGGTGTATACTGTAGAGATAGACATGTCAAAAGCAGAAAAATACATGAAAATCCCTCGATACGACGCGACTAGGAGTCGAACCTGTTTTATCTCGACCAGGCAGGGCGGGTTTGATGTCCATGACCATGGCCAAGTACCGTCGGACTATTTTCGCGTCTCATTACGTTTCTCAGTTATACACTCAAAGGAGGGAAGGTTAGGGACGTCGAGATTAGCGTGTTGAGCAAAGCACAAGTCGCTGAGAGGCATTCATCACGTCAGATATCGAGCTGTAGCCAGATTTATCAGACGTCTGTGTCCATTTACTGAAACGAATGCTTGGAGCTATAGCAACGCAATTGCTTGTTTATGCAGCAAGGCGGGGTGACTAAGCGGCCAAGGTGCTATTTAGGTACTTCTAACAGGTTTGAATCCTGTACGTCTCTGTGGATTTTTGTTGTGGATCTCATTTTTGCCCCTTCAGGGTTATAACTCACATACAAGAAGGGTTCTCCCGGCCTCTCAACCTGGGTTTCTGCAACAGGATATGATCACCCTTGCTTAGTCTATGTGGGGGATACAACCACCGCCGGCCTTTAGACGCTCAAGGTGCAATGGTCGATTTGGCAAACTCGTGAACGCCTTTGATTACGCAGGTTCGAATCCTGTCAGCGCCATCTGGACTCACATGCCGTTCAATTTTTCACTTTTTTTCCCCCCTCGATGATGATCGTTTGCATGCATGGTCTCCAGGTGTTTACTGTAGTACCAGGGAAATTATCCGAGTCATTGACGGCTTCTTGTCAATGCGGTAGTGTCGTGATGTTCCTGGTTGAGGATGTTCGTGTAATCAACTAGGGGGATGTGAGTGACGGCCTCCTGCTGGACCACTTGAAACTACTCGATGCGGTAAAGAGCAGCAGGGCACGATGGCTGAACTGGAGAGCCTGCATATAGTGCTGCTCTTGCAATTAGGCAGGTTCGAATCCCGCTTGTGTCAATCAAATATCATGAAGTTGGTTTCATTTTATCGCCTATTTTGTTTCCTACGGGCTACACATTTTGGGTACTTTGTGGGGTCAAAACGGCCAAGCACCCAGTCTTGCAGCGTCAGTAGAAACCCCATTCCCATTCGCCATCGATATCAGCGACCTAATTCTCGGTTTATCCAATATATGTAATACACGCGTATCGCAATTAGCGAGGTTCCTTGGGCATGTCGAGCAACGCTGGCGACGGAGTACGTGGCATCGAACCAACCTCACACAAATCGGGAATGTAGGGCGATCGCGATTCAAATATCAAAGCGCCATTCCGAACCAATTCTTCGATACCACGAGTTACAAAATGCAGCCATGTTCTTGACCTCCACCACCTCACTCTGTTTTACATGGATCGCTCTCTGCCCTTCATTTATCTCTCAGCCTAATCGACCTGAACAAAGTGAACATCCTGCTCTGCATCAAGAGTTGCAGAGACACGATGGCACATTGGCCAAGGCAACAAACTCGGCTACTAGTCGACCACCACCGGAAACACGTTGCTACAGGTTCGACTCCTCCTCGTGCTGTAGGTTCAAACCAGGTGCGCCTATTTTTTACCGCCGATTTTGTTTGGCTGGTAGTTTTAGCTGTTTCTCAGAAGCAAAAGGCGGTGAGCCGGGCTGCGCTTCATACTATGCAAAACAAAGGCGGTGTAATAGATGACGGAATTTCATCCTTGGACAAACACGCAGAGAGAAAGGAAGAGACACGATGGAAGAATGGCTGAAGGCAACAAACTGGCTTTCCGTGCAATGAATGAGTTTGCCCCTTGTTCATGCAGGTTCGATTCCTGTCTCGTGTCATCTGCCCCTTCTTCGATGGCGATTTCATTTTGCTAGTCTGATGTTTTGTCGTTCATGATGAAGTTTCCATCGGCATTTTGATTTAGAGAATCCAAAGACTGTTGCACTTTGAAACAAAGGAGCGGGGGGATAGACATGTCAAAAGCAGAAAAATACATGAAAATCCCGCGATACGACGCGAGTAGGACTCGAACCTGTTTTATCTCGACAAGGCAGGGTGGGTTTGATGGTCATGACCATGGCCAATTGCCGTCAGACTATTTTCGCGTCTCATTACGTTTCTCAGTTATACCCTTGAAGGAGGGAAGGTTAGGGAAGTCGAGATTAGCGCGTTGAACAAAGCACCGTGGATATCGAGCAGTAGCCTGATTTATCAGACGTCCGTGTTCTTTTACGGAAACGAATGGTGGGGGGTATAGCAACGCAATTGCCTTTTCGTACAGCAGGGCTGGGTGACCAAGCGGCGAAGCGGCTATTTGGGTACTGCAAACGGGTTCGAATCCTGTACGTCTCTGTAGATTTTTGTGGTAGCACTCATTTTTGCTACTTCAGGGTCGTAACTCACATACAAGAAGAGCTCTTACGGCCTCTCGGCGCTCAGCGCTCAGCCCATGTCTCTGCAACAAGATACAATTACCCTTGCTCGGTCTATTTGGGGGATACAACCACCGCCGGCCTTTAGACGCTCAAGGCGCAATGGTCGATTAGCAGACTTGTGAACGCCTTTGCTTACGCAGGTTCGAATCCTGTCAGCGCCATCTGGACTTGCATGCCATTCAATTTTTCACCTTTTTTCCTTCTCGACGATGATCGGTTGCATGCATGGTCTCCAGCTATTTACTGTAGCACCAGGGGAATATTCCGTAGCATATATCATTGATGGCTTCTTGTCAATGCGTAGTGAGTGCCGTGATGTTCCTGGTTGGGGATGTTCGTGTAATCAACGAGGGCGATGTGAGTGACGGCCTCCTGCTGATGGGCCACTTGAAACTACTCGATGCGGTAAATAGCAGGGCACGATGGCCGAACTGGAGAGCCTGCATATAGTGCTGCTGTCGCGATTAGGCAGGTTCGAATCCCGCTTGTGTCAATCAAGGAATATCATGAAGTTGGTTTCATTTTATCGCCTATTTTGTTTTCCTACGGGCTACACAATCTGGGTACTTGTTGTGAGGTCAAAACGGCCGAGCACCGAATCTTGCAGCGTCAGTAGAAAACCCCATTCCCATTCGCCATCGATATCGCCGACTGAATTCTCGGTTTATGCAATAAAAAGTGGAAGTAGGGCTTGATACGCGTGTTATCGCAATTTGCGATGTTCCTTGGAGATGTTGAGCAACGCTGGCGACGGGAGACCGTGGCGTTGAAGCGACCCCCACACAAATCGGGAATGTAGGGCGATCGCGCATCAAATATCAAATCGCCATTACGAACCCAATTCTTCGATACCACGGGTTACAAATTGCCACTATGTTCTTGACCTCCACCA